GGTTTCTCCATAGTCCTTTCTCCACACTGCGAGAGGGCTCTGGCCTTCATCTTCCCCAGAGTTCATCCTGCATCTGTACCACTCACTCTGCCTTTCTTCATGTGACCGTGGGCGAGGTGTCCATGCTGGTCCATCTGTCCATCACGTCCATCTGTCAGAGGACCTTGCTCCCAGGATTACCCCAGCCTTTGCGGATTGCCAGCTCCCCCCGCTGCTGTGTGTACAGACACGTTCCAGCTCCTCCCGCCTCTGCACGTTCTCTCTTGCTGTTCTCCGTCTTTCTCCAGCTACTCCTTTGGTCCGTTAGCCCCCAACTGAACATTCGAACACAGTCTGCGCAGTCGGCCATCGGGTTTGCCCTGCACGTGCCCGTTGCACATCAGTGGTGTGGCCCAGAGGCACGCGGCGACCTGGGTCTCACTCAGAACTCTCGGTCTCCTCACCGCCTCTCGTCGCTCCCGTTCAGGCTGCGTCCCTCCTGTGCCCCAGCTGCCCCAGCCCGGAACCCAGCAGAGACTCGTCATCTCGGCTTCTCTCATTTCCCTTCATTCCCTCCACGTCATCCACGGGCAAGACCTGCTTGTTGGCTGTGCTGCCAGACACGGCCTGGCCCCTTTCATCTCTTGCCATTGCATTCACCTTTTGCCTCGCAGAGTTTTCCGGCCTCTTCTTTCCTTCCCCCTGAACTCTCCCTCCACACAGCAGCTGGAGAGATTTGTAAAGTGTCAGATGACGACACTCTGAGCAAGCTTCAGAGGCTCCCCGTGAAGAAGTCTCGTGGGATGTAGCCCCACCTGCCGGCCGGCCTCCTCTTGGACCACCCAGTCACCCCTCCCACCCGCTGACACCCCCCTGCCCCCCCCACACACCAGCCTTCCTCCTGAGGGCCCTTCCTCCTGCTGGTCCAGCAGACTCCTTGCCCAGGTGCTGGCCTGGCAGTCTGTGTTGGCTTGTAGAGTTTCTGCCCTGTTTGCGTTCGTCTCCCCCGAGAAGCTTCCCCAGACCATCAGTCCCTCTCTGACAGCATCCTGTTTTCTTCTTTTCACAGCACTGTTGCAAAATGAAATTATATTGACCATTTGCTTGTCTCATCTGTCCTCACAGAAAGAATGTAAATTTTAAGAGGATAGAGACCTCATTTGTCTTGTTCACTGTTGCAACCTCAGCACCTGATAGAGTACCTAGCACGGAGGATGTGTCCAGTAGACATCTGTTGGATGAAATCTGATCACTGTTTCTGCCATTTCAATGGCCCACTCTTCCCTAGAGAATAAAATCCAAGTTCCTTGAAATGGTTTGGTTGCTCGCTGGTCTCGCTCCTACTCATTTTTGACCCACTGGTTCTTAATGGGGGCATTTTGACTTCCCCTCCCCACAGAAGAAAGATACTTGGCAACATCCACAGACATTTCTGGTTATCATGATGGTGGGGGTGCTCTGCCATTCCATGGATAGAGGCCAGGGGTGCAGCTCGGTGGCCTGCACTGCACGGGACTGGCCCCCCAAAAGGGATCTGATGCAAATGTCCACAACACAGTGCTCAAGACTCTGGCTGGTTCTCTCTTTGTTGCACTCAGAGTTCTAGCCTTGCCGAAAGGCCATGTCCTAGCCTCTGAGCCTTGACCTTGCTAATGTCGCCACTGAACATTCCTTCCTCTTCCTCTGTTTCTGCTGCTGGCTCTGTTCTTCGCCTAGATGGGGTCTTGAGGCAAACAAGGAGTTCATCTGTTCCGGCAGTTTTGAGACTGTAAAAGATAACTTAAGTTTCCACCTTTAGGTGGAATTTAAGTTTTAGGTAAATTTAAGTTTTTACCTAAATTGAAGGTAACTTCCATGTACAAACATATTCTTCATGTCTTTTTTTTTTTTAGATGAATAGAACTGCTATTGAGGACTACAGTATTATTTCTATTAATCCAACCACAGAGAATAATTGCAGTGAATTAATAAAAACGCACCTATTTAGAACCTAAATCCATAAAATTAAGCTTTGTCAGTTTTTAGCTACAATTTGGGATATTTAAACACCTATCAGTGAATTTTAGTTTCTTTGTTTTTCGTGATTTGTGCTCCGTTAAAATATTTCACTTTTGAAAGATAAATGCATGTGGCTCTTCTAAGTGCATCAAAAATTATGTGTCGATAATGCCCTTAAAGAACAGAATTGAGATTTGGATACTTTATTAGATGACTTTGCCAATTCCTGTTATGATATTTGAATACCGTCAATGCAAGTTGATTGCAGTGTTTTGACTTGACAGTCTGCCCTTGTTTTATTAGGAAACAAAGCTTTGTGGCCATACTTTTGTCCCTCCCCAGCATTCCCATATCACCGACAAAGGAAAATGCTCTAAGGTGCTGGTATTTGTAAAGACCCCCACACAAGGATTACAAAGTTATATAGGTTTTAGTATATGAGCAATAGAATCACAGCCCACTGATTTGTTTTAAAACTATAATTTGCATTTTATGATTTTTAAATCACAAAGAAGATTTTAAAAATAATTATGTTTATATAATGCTCTACTTGCTGATGAGTTTATAGCTTATAATATTAATTAATAGTGCTTTCATTGCAGCTTCTCTCTCTTTCTCTCACTTTTTCATATCAAGGGTTTTGTGCAGTGGTTATTTTGTAAAGCTTTCCAAAGAACGAAACATTTTTTTACAGGATGAAAATATTCTCTCTGCCATTGAGCATTTGTTTTCTTGTGTGTCTAGTGCTGCAGAATTTCTTTTTTGTATGTTCTGACTTGGTAGGTAGTGGCTTTGGCTTTGAAAATGGTTAAGAAATCTTTCAGCTTATCCATATCTTTATCTGAATTGTATACATCAGCCTTGCTACGAAACCCCAAACAGGTACCTACACATTTTACCTACCCCTTAATTTAAAACTTTGACACCAGGTGAATTCTCCAGTTGTGCCTTTCTATTTCTCTCATCTTTCAGCGCTCTGGCCTTACTTCACTGGGTTCTGTACTCCTTCTTTTCTACCATGAATATTTACTGAATTCACTTACTGAGCTCTGTTCTAAAGGATCGTGATATGCTCTAAATAAAAGGTGATCTCTTTGGAGTGACAAGTTCCTAAGTAATTACATTTAATAGTGTGTGATAAATCCCACAATGGAGAGAGGTACAAAAGACACTGGTGGCATAGGATTCTTAAAAGTCACTTCTGCTTGGGGGATTGTAGAGACTGAGAGGATGGAATATTTGAACAGCACTCCTAGCTAGAAAAAGGGCAGGGGACCTGGGGGAGAGTCTAGGCAGAAGGAAGAGAATGACTTACTTGGAACCATTGCTGGTCCAGAGACTTGCTGGTCATCTTCATTTCTTGCTTTCTCCCTCCTAAGTGATGTCATCAAGCATAATCCTGCCATCAGCTATAATATTGTGCTGTATTTTGAACAGATAATTTGAGTTAGGTTTTCCATTCAAAAGGAATAAAGAGCCACTGAAGACAGGTCATTAGGTAGCTATCTGGCTGTATTTGGCTTTGCACGTCTTTGAGTAGACCTAAATCTGCTCCGGGGGTCATGTATGGCTCTTTGTCTGTCTTAGTTCTTCCCTTCTTACCTCAAGACTTACTGTAAATAAAAAGCTGCTTTGTTTGAGGTATTTTTATTTTGGAGAGTGTTATTTTCTCAAAATTGATTTAGTTGTGGCTAAGGGGAAAAACTGAAGAGGCAGCTGTCAGAGATTTTATTTCTGAAGAGGTTCAAACTCTAGAAAGAAAATTACTTTTGAAAGAAGTCATTTAGCTATGAGTCTTTATGTGCTTGAATTTCATCCTCAAGAACACTTATCTTGGAAAATGACTGGTCAAAGGAATCATTATAGGAAGAAGGTGGGAACAGGCATCAGGTTAAAACATTTCAATTACGACTGGGATAAAAGAAACTATCAAAAGTTGGTCCTTTAAAAGGAAATTCCAGTTTTCAATTTGAGAAATGGTTACAATAAATCTGATTACTATTGTGGAGAGAACTTACGTATGTGGTTCTCTCACCATTGTGTGTGTCATGAGGCTTGTGACCGCATACTTTCCACATGGGGTGTCTGGTCCCTGCTAGTGTGCTAAGTCACACTGAAACAGGATGGCAGGAACCCCATTAGTAGCCACACTTTTCCTCCGCTCACCACCTCCTCTGCTTATTACTCCTGTCTTTCTAGACTGCATTTCCGTGGCAGAAAGAGTGAGAAGAGCTTTCCCAGTCCTAAATATGAAATATTTAATAGCAGGCTATCTCCCCACCTTTCGACTCGAGCAGTCTTTTTTAATCAGGACTCTGAATCACAGCCTTGCCTTTGGCATGAGAAGGAAGTTAACAGCATCTCGCGTTGAGTTTTCGCTGCCAGACCAGCGCGCAGTCGGCCACTTCCCCTTATTGTCGCTGCTGTGACTTCCCAGCAGTTGTGGGTCATGGTCGTGACTGTATGAAGGCAGTGGAACCTTTCCAAAAAGAAAGTTCTCAAATTGGGTACAACCTAAGTCAGGAGCCCCACCTCTCCTACAGACGCAGAGAAATGATGAAGGCGGCCATTTGGAGACAGAGCGCACACACCGTATTGGTCCCGGCAGGGATACACTTCAGAAAATACAACCCTATTTTTATCTGTACATATTGGAATTATATTTACTTGACATCTGTAGCAAAAATAGAAAATCAGTAATCCCGGGGATCTTGGTTGGCCCGTTATTCACGTTAAAAATTGCAGAGACTTCGTGTTTATAAAACTATCACTTCGGAATTCATCCGCTAGAGAAGTTCTTTTCCCACCCCAGTCCAAGGCAGAAATTTCCCCGGAGGCCCCGGCCATTCCCGGGGGCCCGGCCACCTCGCGCAGCCGCGGTAGTGGGCCGCGGGGCCCGCCGACGCCACGGCCTTGCGCAGCCGCAGTAGTGGACTGCGGGGGCGCCCAACCGGCACGGGCTTGCGCAGCTGCAGTTGCTGGCGGAGGCACGTTTAACGGTCACCCGCAGCTTTCCATCCCGCCGGGGAGCTTGTCTGGCGCTCCCCTCCTCCTTTCTCCCTCCACTTCTCGAGTGAGTGGCCATGAGTCGGGCCGTGGGAGTCCTGCGGGCCGGCCGGAGAGTGGGCGCCGGGAGAGTCAATTGGCTGTGTCCCCGCCGGGTGGCGGGCCTCCCTCTGACGGGCGCTTGGGCCGTCCCCCCCGTGTGCAAGATGGCAACCGTCAGGTGTGAGCTGATCAAGAACTTCGCTCCCGAGGAGGCCGTGCCTCACAACAAGGTCTCCATCATTGGAACCGGATCGGTTGGCATGGCCTGTGCTATCAGCATCCTGTTAAGGGGCTTGACCGACGAACTTGCCCTTGTGGATGTCCATGAAGACAAACTGCAGGGGGAGACGATGGATCTTCAGCATGGCAGCCCCTTCGTGAAAATGCCAGCTATTGTGTCCAGCAGAGATTACCGCGTCACTGCAAACTCCAGCCTCGTGGTCATCACCGCAGGGGCACGCCAGGAAAAAGGGGAAACACGGCTTAATTTAGTCCATCGAAATGTGGACATCTTTAAATTAATGATTTCCAGTATTACCCAGTATAGCCCTCGCTGCAAAATGATCGTTGTTTCCAACCCAGTGGATGTACTAACTTACGTGACCTGGAAGTTGAGCGAATTTCCCCCAAACCGTGTTATTGGAAATGGTTGTAATCTGGACACGGCCCGTTTCCGTTTCTTGATTGGGCAGAAGCTCGGTATCCACTCTGACAACTGTCATGGGTGGGTCGTGGGAGAGCATGGAGACTCGAGTGTGCCTGTGTGGAGTGGAGTGAACGTCGCTGGTGTCCCTCTGAAGAATCTGAACTCAGACATAGGAACTGATCAAGATCCTGAGCAGTGGAAGAATGTCCACAAAGATGTGGTCGCTAGTGCCTATGAGATTATTAGAATGAAAGGTTATACTTCTTGGGCCATTGGCCTATCTGTAGCTGATTTAACAGAAAGTATTTTGAAGAATCTTAGAAGAGTGCATCCAGTTTCCACATTAGTTAAGGGTCTCTATGGAATAAATGAAGAAGTATTCCTCAGTGTTCCGTGTATCTTGGGAGAGAATGGTATTACAGACCTTATAAAGATAAAGCTGACCACAGAAGAAGAGGCATGTCTGAAGAAGAGTGCAGAAACGCTTTGGGAAATTCAGAAGGAGCTCAAGCTTTAAAGTTGTTGGAAACTACCTTTTGAAGTTACTGAAGGGATAGTAGTTACAGGGTTTTGTATGTCAATTTTTTTTTTTTTTAAATAAGCTTGAATTTCTACAAGTTGGAAACAGGAAAGGAAGTAGAGTGAGTTGCCCCCGCAAGCTTTTTTATTTAGCATCTAGATGTCAGGTTGCTTTTTCCCCCCATAGTTCCTAAGTGATGGCATCGAAGGAGGTGTTTTTGTACCACAGATGTACCAGCACGTGCTATGTGTGTGTCTGTGTGTGTATTTGCTCTTTGGTCCAAAAAGGATTAGGATGTAGGCATTTGTGTTACAGAAATGATAATTTTCATTAAGTACGTGTTCTTTCATTCTGGATGGCTTATACTTACTATGTTTATTTACCATTTTTAAGATGTTGTAACTTCCTCTGCAATGTAAAAATAAATGTACCTACAGAAGTACTTTCTGTAACGAAGCCATGAGCTGTCTTCATTCCACTGTGACAGTCTGTCACCTGGGCCTTAAAAAAAGGCATTATAAAACGGGAGCTGCAAGTAGGTCCTGTTTATTTGGGGGCAGAGGGGCACATGCACACACGTACTCTTGTATGGATGCCAGCGAAGCAGGATCATTAGGTTAAAATGTGAAAAGAGGAGTGATCTGGTTGGCAGTTGTTACAAAGTGTTTAATGCAGTAAAATACAAAGCTTTTAGAAAGAAGCCTGACAGAGATGGCAAGTGTTACTGTCGCTTAGTCAGCAGGGAAAGGAAATATTAGATTTAGATTTTGGAGTTGTTAAAAACCAAGCCTGACTAACGTTATTTTAGAACTGCCTCTGAGAACCTGACCTGTTAGCAGGTTAAATCAGGAAGTGTGTTACAAACTGTCCTTGTTCGGTCCGGTCTTACAGAAGATTGGGCCCCGACCCCAAGATGCTCCCGCGTCATCCCTGCTGCTAGTTCACTTCACATTAGCAGAAAGCTTTTGTGTTTCAATTTTGCCCTGTTAGTGTCCTAGAAATTGGTCATTTTAATGAGTACTTCAAGGATTATATTTCTCAGGAAGTTACACATTCACTTTTTATTCCTTAATCAATGGCCTTTACTATAGATGGTAAACTTTATGCATCTGATAAAAGTGAGGGTTTAGGAGAAAGTGAAGGTGCTTGTCAGGCCTTTCCCTAAATGATGTAATAACTTAGAAAATAAGAAAAAAAATTTTTTTTAATATCTTTATTTTAGAGAGAGCGAGCACACAGGAGGGGGAGAGGGAGAGAGGATCTCTAGCCGACTCTGCTGAGCACAGGGCCCGACGCAGGGTTCCATCTCAAGACCTTGAGATCACAACTTGAGCTAAAGCCAAGGGTCAGATGCTTAACCAACTGTGCCACCCAGGCACCCTGAGAAAGATTTTTAAATTCATGTCAACTTTCCTGATGCAATTGAATATTAAGTAAATAATACGGTGTCTTTAAACATATTTCAAGATCCATGTGGCTGTCAGCAGGGGTCATCAAAATTGAAAGGTATCAGCATCTACTCTCTAAAGCCGGTCCTGGAATGCCTGGGTGGCTCATTCTCTTAAGTGTTTGCCTTCAGCTCAGGTCATGATCCTAAGGTCCTGGGATCTAGTCCTGCATCGGGCTTCTTGCTCCTTCTGCCTACTCTTCCCCCTGCTTGTTCTGTCTTTCTCTCTCTGACATAAATTTAAAAAATAAAGCCAGTCCTCCTTAGTTGAATTTTATCAAGTAGACCTAGGACAGCAGTCTGCCCCCCAAATGACCCTTTACCCTAGTGATCAGAGCTCCCATACTATTCTATTGGAAACATCTAGAAATGTTCTGATTACCCAGGAAGTAGTATCATTTAGTGGGACAAACTGATGTACGGGGCTTTTGGAAAGTGGGAAGAACGGTGGTTTGGCTGTTCCAGCTGATTCTAAAAGCCATTTAAGCTTAACTGCACAGAGTTCCTCTTCCCCTTTGCCCAGCGCTTGAGTTTTCATTCAGCCGTGTTTCAGCCAAGTTTAACATAATTTTGAAGGGGATCAGAGGATGCCCTAGGTTTGTTTTGTAATTCTCTTCACTATGTCAGGATAGGCTGGGTTATACTACAGTGAAAAACAGTCTCCAAATGTGTGGTTTAAAACAACAAAGGTTTATTTCTCTTGTAAAATCCAGTGTGGGTTTACGTGTGTCTCTCTAGGGGAGCTGTCCTACACAAGGTGGCTTCGTACCTCAGATTGTTTTGATCTTGAGGCACCTCTGTAGTAACACAGGTCTCCTTGTTTCCATGGCAAGGTAAGAGTGGCCTGGAAACAGCTGCGGTTAAATGCATCACCCTGGACGTGATGCCCATTTCTTCTGCCAGAGCTAGTCACATGGTTACCTAACTTCAAGAGGGTGGGGAAGTTGAACCCCCTGTGTCTAGAAGTCCACACTTCTGGTTATCAGGGAACATTGCTAACAACCTGCCATACCATTCTAAAGTGGTGGCCATTGTAGGAGTGTATGTGCTTTTGAAATCCTTCTTAGTGAAAGCTGGTATGTGATTAGAGGTTCTAGAGGTACCAAGTTTTCCAGGTCACGGGACCAGGGTGGCTGTGGTGAAAGAGCCCAGGGCGTCAGTCAGTTGTACTTAGGAAACATGTCACCATGGCTGGTTTAACCTCTCTGACCTCTGGTTTCTCATATGCAAAGTGCTGGCTCTCATTTCTGCTGCATAGAATTGTAAAGACTAAGTAATAGCCCCGTGCTTGGTACAGTGCCTGGCATCCAGGTCATGTCAAATGGCAGACATTTTTATTCCTGTTCAAGTAACAGAGTCTTATTCTGTTTTATGGAGAAGCTGAATTTCCAGGTTCTTCAGAATTACTCTTGGTACCATAATTATTGACATATCCAAAGGCTTTCTCATCACTTGTTCCTAAAAAGCTTTTGTCATGCTACGTCCAGCACTGACGTCCTGCAAGAGGCAATTGAAGTAAAGGAGCTGGTGAATGGCAAAGACATTTTACAGCTTGAGCTTTTTATTCCAATAACTGCTTATTTTTTTAAGAATAGATGCTATAAGGATTTTCTCAATTGGGTACATAGCAGCTTTTAAGGAGTTTTTCAGCGCACCATATATTGGACCAAAAGTCTTCTTTTTTTTTTTTTTTTCCTGCCAAGACACGCATGATGAATGCACAGCAGTGTCCCAGGTCTTCCTGCTGGCATCCTGGCTTTATGGCCCTTTACAAAGCTGTTGCAGTGTGAACGAGAGTAACATTGTTAGAGGCACAATCTTGAATCTGTTCTGATGTCTGAAAAGTTGCTCATACTCAGTCTTTAGAATGTCCGTATTATGACAAAGTACTTACAGTAGGTTTCCCAATCATCATGACATTGTATTTGATAACTGCCTTTAGGAAGTTGTACTTTCCAATAATACGACAGCCCATCACTGCTGGACACAAACACTGGAACTTAAGGATGAGGTTCTTGAGCAGTGGACTTGATGCCCAGGGGGTGCCATTCCTGTCTTAGTCTTTGTGGAGAGCAGCCGCTGGAGCTGCACAGTACACAGTGGCCCTGCTTAGAAGGGTAGCCCTGTGACCCCTAGCCAAGGTCAAATTCTTCCCGGTCCGAGGAAAGAGGGAAGAGGAGGGGAGAGATCCCAGAGTTTGCAAAATGCTGCAGAGTAAGACCGAGTTGCTGGATGGAGACCTAGTTCGTAGCATGCCCCATCCTCACCAGACTGCTGGGATGTAGGGTAGGGAATGGGTTTATGCCAGTAGCTGTCAGTGTTATTGTGGAATCTAGTACATTGGTGTTATAATCAAATTTGCTTAAATTAACTCAACCCCTAAATCTTTTCAAGCACATTTTTAAGCAGAAGGTTCTGTTAGCCTGTGATAGCGTATTACTGATAGACCCACACCTCTAAACTGCTTATCAAAAATTGACAGAGGTAAAAAAAAAAACAAAACAGCAACAACAACAACAACAAAAACCCTGAAGGTTTTCGTTTCCTATCCATATAACAAAAATCGTATGAACTTAAAAACCTGCTGTGAAACCCTTGCTTAAAGCAACATAAGGCCCTGTTTATAACTTAAATGTGGACTCCAGGTTTCCATTTCCACAGCTGTAAAATTAAAGAAGAGGCCTGAATGGTCCACTTGCCTCCCTTCCTTTACATCTCTTTGAAGCCTGTCTGTTCCTAATTGGCTCTTTCTTCAGATGATTCCTTGCGGTAGCTCAGTAACTCATTTATGACTCTGGGAGCAAGTAAATGATACAATACTTGGGAAATTAAAGGCAAGGGGAAAAAAAATCCGTCCAAGAGGAGGAAATGGGAACACAGGCCCCCATGCTGAAGTAGAACGCCCACACTTAACTCCTCCCCAGACCTCAGCTGCTTCCCCTGCCCTCCTCCCTTCTCAGCAACTGCCCGTGTCCCACATCCCTGAGAAGGTAAAATGGTAAATGATTCATGTCCTCGCTCTCTGACACCCCATTTGAAAACTCATTAGGTTTAGTCTTGACAGATGTTCAACCAGTAAAGGCTAAGGGAAGGAACTAGGCAGCGCATCGTAGACCCTGACCAGAGATGTCTTTGAACTGAGAAAGTGTATGCAAAAGATTCCTCAGTGGGGCCATGTTGGTATTTTGGACAAAGCAATTGTTTTTTTTTTTTTTTTGAAGATTTTGTTAACTTATTTTAGAGAGAGCCCGAGAGAGAGGGAGAGGGATAAGCAGGCTCTCCACTGAGCAGGGAGCCCCACGTAGGGCTCAATCCCAGAACCCTGGGATCATGATCAGAGCCAAAGGCACATGCTTAATGGACTGAGCCACCCAGGTGCCCCCAAAGCAGTACATTAGCTATTTAGAATCTTCCCCCACCCCCAATGCAAATAGCAGTTCCTTGTGCTTATGGCAACCAAAATGGCATGACACGATTTGAGAACTGCTGTTGGGAACGACAGTTCCAGTCCCTCCCCAGTACTACCTCTGGTTGACAACCTCTCATGGAGGACTCGCCACAGTACAAGCTGGAGAGCTGCATGGAAGACTGGGCTAGGGAGAGGCATACCTGCCGTGGACGTGTGTATCTTGGGTACTGGTGTCTGGGACCCAAACATTGAGATGGTTGGCACGGCCCTCCTACAGACTACATAGAATAAGTAACCTCCTGGATCTCCCAGTGTCAGAATACTTAGACCAAAATGACACTGAACTATAGTTTTTAACAGATCTATCATATCTATGCATGTGAACTGTGTTTTTGCAGCCCAGCACTGATGATGCTGTCATGACAACAGCTAGTAGATCACCAAACACCACGTGCTGGGTGCTGTGCTCGCGTCCTCACCACCGTGTAAGCAGGTGATGATCTCCATTCTGCACACGTGGGATCTACCACTTAGAGACAGGAAGCAGTTTTCCCGGGTAGTGGAGTTAGGATTTGAACAGAGAAGTCTATCCAGTACCAGAGTCTGTGCTGCACTCACAGTGCTGCAGGGACCGGAGTGCATGCCTAGCACTTGACGAGGCCTGAACACGACACACTGGCTGAATTTAGAAACAAGGGAAGGAACCAGCTTCAAAACCAAGTGAAGTAAGAAGACATCAGCCGACTCTCAGAACAATCCACCCAGAGATGACTTGGTGCTGGTGCTGTCAAGGAGTGCAAGGTGCTTCACAGCTCTCAGGGGGTCTTTATCCTTGAGAAATGCAGTTCGGATGTGGCTGATGAGAATACCGTAAGGCCGTGCCATGCTGTAGGGCTGAAGCGATGAATTCACAGCAGGCGCAGATAGATTAAATAACGAACCAAACCATGTATAGCTTGGACTGTCTAGTGGAAAGATGATTGAGCTCCCGTAGTGAGTGCTGCCCTCCCTTAGAGCAGCGCCCTCCGTCCGTGGAGCACCCTGCCGAGTCTCTTCTCTCCATTTCTTCCTTTAGGCTCCAGAATTCTTGGTGTAGTTAAGATAAACAGAACCCCCCCCCCCAAAAAAAAACCCAGAACTCCCATTCTTAGTTGTATCTTTATATATGAAAGCCAACAATACATAGCATTCTTCTGGTAGGAAATAAATATTACGGAGAGTTGACAATTTAAATTATGTTGCCTTCCAGATTTAGAATGGCATTTTATGTTATTTAAAGGAAGAAGAAAAGAAGTTTCTCATTTCCTTTTAAGGTAGCAAGAATAGTCCTTACCTTTTATTGTACCCATAAGCAATGCAGTATCATTGGGGCAGCAACCGGGTCTCTCTCATTGCTTTGCCTCTTTTCCCCTTCTTTTAATTTTGATAACTGATTTTTTTTCCTTCTTTCAGATGAAAGACTTTCGAAGTAAAATGCAGTCAATATTTCCAGCAATTCCCAAGAACTCGGAATCGCCTCTTGAGTGGGAGGAAGCATTGAAATCCAAATGAGATGAGCATGGTGGGGAAAGTCTAAAACAAACGTCATGGAGAGGGTGGCTTTGGAGATGTCACAGAAGCAAAGGGACTCCCCTGATTTATCATCAGGGACATGTGCATTGCTGACCGAACCCACAGGACGGATGGCGTTCAGTGCCGCACAGGAGGCCTATAGTCTGTGCGCTTTACTTTAAAATTGGGGTGTGGGTGTGTGTGGGTGTGTGTGAAGGTTTTCCCAAAATTAGGAAGATTCTTGCAAAATAATTATATGGATAACCTCTCGGTGGAGAAGATCCCAAGGGAAATCCTTCTGTTTACAAGGGCTAAAACCAAGTTTTGTACCTGGGGGAAAAATAAACGTGTAGTAACAGATGATGGAAAATCTTTATAGACAGACTCCTAACACCACTAGTACTTCACTGTGTCTAACTAAATGAGTTTCCACAGCCTTTCTTGCTGGATGTAATTGTCAGGGCGTGGAAGGCTTGCTGCTCTTAGGCCCACTCTGCCCTGACAGGTTCACAGGGAAACCCTGTCTGTCAGGCAGCGGGTGTGGCTCTGTCGTCTGGAACACAGCCCTGGGTTTGCTCCTGCTTGCCAGTTAGCTGATGAGCTCACCCCAAGGCCCTGGAAATTCTCAGACATAGAGAAGAAGCCAGGAACAGATTATGATAACCCAAAGAGACAGTCATGCTAAAATAATAATTATGGATATAAATTGTGCTTTTTTGAGGAGTTGGTTCTGTGTTCGTAAACACTGACTAATAGTTTGTAGTTTTAACTCAATTGTTAATGTAAAAATAGGCCAATTATCACCTAGCTTAACAAATATTTTTAACCAGAAAGTTACTGAGGTATTGAGTCTCAGTATTAAGTACTGCCTCCTGACAGATTCTTACACACAGGCCCACCCTTTCCTGTCCTCCATGACCTCTCAGAGAAAACAGAGGATAATGTCTACGTGCAATTATTTTTACTGGAGATGAACATTTTTTAAAGAAAGTACTTTAATATGTCAGTATATCCCAAAAAATATGGTTGGATATCAGTAGTGCAATTTCTTTATAATTAATTAGGCTTTAATTAGCAATCAGGTTTAATAAAGTACATTTGAAATTTTTCTGTTATAATGAAACCTTTTAGTGCTAAGGAAAATTTTTAAATGAAATGTCAAGTGCATAATGTAACATTTTTCTCTGGACCACGTTACCCTGTTAAAGTTGCTGTATTGTTAATTAATTAAACAGGTGTAAGCAGCATCTGGGATCATATGTAACCCGTTAAAAATCCAGGACTAAAAGGAAAGAAGTGTGGAATTTATCAGGGCGTATGGAGTAGCAAAAACTCTTCGCCCAACTTCCATTTTTAACTAAATCTCTGCTAAGAAAGATTCCTAGCCTCTGAATGGGGTGAAGGAAGGAAAGGCCAGAACCAAACTGAACAGTTTGTGTTCCTATCACTGGCCTGAGTCTAGGAGCAGGGTGGGTGTGCTCTGTTCCCTATGGCCTGGCACATGGGAGGCCTGAGGAATGAATGTTTGGACACACACTTCTGAGACATGACTCGTGTTTACAAACCCTTTCCATACGTCTTTTGTCCTTGAGGGATGGCAGGGTGGCCCCATAAGAATGATCGTGAATCACCTGCTGAGGGAACGTTGACATGGGGACAGATTCCCTAGGATACACCAGGCATAGGCTCCAGTCGCATTTGAAAAGCAGAAATGGAGTAACGAAACTCAGAGTTTAAAGGAAAACAAGCAGTGTGATCGAAGTGGTATTTTTCTATAGTCAGAACTCAGATATCAGAAGATTTAGTCATTTGTCTATTCCTTTTATACCAGAGGCATATTGTTAAATTGGTTAATGGAAAGGAAAAATGTTGAACAGATAATGTTATTCTTTATGTGAAGTACCATCTGTGTATTGAGTTCTGAATGTTCCTGGATATGGAAGAGAGGAAATGTTATGGAATTTCAAGTTTGCCTTCTTTGCTGTCTTTATCTTGGGTAGAGTATGACAAACATAATCACATTTATCTCCTGGAGCATAAAGAGTTTTAATCACCCTATTAACCAGGATGACATTTTTCACAGACTTAAAAAGGAATAGAACAGACATTATCTCCCCATAAGCAATCCATTTCATGGAGGCTGAGCACTAGAAATTTTTTAAAGGATGGATAACACAAGCCATTTCCATTTCATGCGTAAGCCCACATTAAGGCGGCTTTCCCTAAGAATGTTGCTTACCCTGGTTGAGTGTTAAGCTTTACGTTTAGAATCTCAGCACCAAAAGAGCTATTAGAGAAAGCAATATAGAGAAAATGTGATGGGCAGGGAGGGGCGAGTTCCCAGGCCTCGGGATTCATTCACGGGGAAAAAAAACAAACACAACAACCAACATGTATTCCAAGAGGTTATTGCTACCCTGTAAAAACGTATCCATAGGCTGCTGTTACCTTCAGAGTCAAGAAAATACGATTTCTAAGTAACCCCAGAATGAAAAACAAGGCACGGAAAGGGCCTCATGCAATGCCCAGCTGCCTTTCACTACAAGAAACGGGGATTCTGATGGTCGGAGTTGGGAGTGAACCACTGTGCGGCCTAGCAGCGAGGAGGCGTGACCACAGGTGACCCTCGTTCCATCGCACTGACTCAGGGGACATCGGAAAAACCTCGCTCGGTGCTCAGTCAAAGGGTGGCATCTGATCACCTCATCTGTCATACATTGCTTTGTTTCATGGACAGTATGGGACTCAACTTGCAAATTAATCATGCAACCTAAGGGGAAAATGTAAGAAATTAAGAAGAAAAAAAAAAGCCCATGGGGACAAAAGTAATTAAAATCCACTGAATTTAGCTATTTCACTGGGGGCAAAATTTAATCTCTCCTAGGTTTGGTTCATGAAGAATGTTGTATATTGTCACCAATTCTCATGTATCTTCTTTAAAAATAGAGCAAACAGATAAGTATAAAGTAAAATCGGCCAGGTAAACTATAAAATTATTTCTCCAAATAGTTAAATTTCTCACAAAAGGCAGTAAAATACAGATTTTTATAGTATATTATCATATTCAAGTGAGATGCTTTTCCTTTCTGCCAAGAGTCATTGAATAATATGTCAAGGATCGGGGTCTCTATATCGGTGATATCAGGATTAATTATCAAAGGTGGCGCTTATATAAGGGTAAAGTGAGCATCTCTTGCAGGCAGTGACATTCATCTGTAATAATGAGTGAGGCTGTTAGCAGATTTTGTCGGAAGGCAGGCAACTCAGTTTGGAAGAAAATTAGACCAAGAAGCACATAGAGCTCAACTTTCCTGCCCAAGCAGTGGAGTGACTCAGGACCTAATTTGCATTTCTCGAATAAGCTTGCCTCATTATCATTTGGTGAGGCACGATCCCTTAGTAAAAAGAAAGAAAACAAAACAATAGTGAACACAGGCAAGATATCATGTAAATGTTCTAAATGATGAAGGGTGAAGGCCATTTTTTTTCCTTAAGATTTTATTTATTTTGTTAGTAGGAGCAAGCATGAGTAGGGGCGGGGATAAAAGGGTCAGAGAGGGAAGGAGGTTCCCCACTGAGCAGGGAGCCCGATGTGGGCCTAGATCCCAGGACCCTGAGGTTATGACCTGAGCAGATGGCAAAGGCTTAACCAAAGGAGCCTCCCAGGAGCCGGTAAAGACCATTTGTAAGGGACTCTCTTAGCAAGGCAAACCGAGGTAGCTTGGCGCATGGATACAACACCTACTACCCACTCACTCGTCTGAAAACGCTCCAAAATCCATCTTCCTCCTGCCCCTGCCTGATGCCTCCGGCTTAGCACGGGAGTCTGGGTGTGCAGCCCGACAGATGGCCCTCCAGCACACAGCCCGGTGACTGCCGTGAACTCGGGGCTCCCGGCCACAGATTTGGGGCTCCAGCGAGCCTGAACCTGCTGTCCGGAGAGAGCACAAGTGGCCACACTGACTTGGAGGTCGCTCCGTTGGGACAGAGGTTACAAAGCTAAGAAAAGTCTAGCGTGGTAAATCTCATGCCAAGCTAATGTAAGATCTCTCGTCAAAAGATCCGAATGATTGAGGAAACCCTTTGCTCTGAAGCTTGCTTGTGGGCCAGCCCCGACTCTCTTCTCATAGATTTATTACAGAAGATCATAGTCCAGTGTGGGACCATCATGTCACCAAGCCTACCACATCCTCATCTAAGAGGACGACTTTTTATGCAAGTCCCTAGCGGTCCTGGAAATACAGCCCCGGCCTTGTCCAGGCTGACCCGGAGTTGGAGGCAAATGGCCTTTTTCTCCCTCCACAGATTGACATGTGGAGCAGTTCCCCCGTGTTTTTCAGGGTGTCTCTCCCAGAGACGTTCCCATAGGAATGGTCCGCATTCTTCACAGATCCACATTCGTCACAGGAGTACCTTTGCTTTAACTCAGTATCCCACATGCTACCGAAGAAGGGGATGAAGGGCGAGGTTAAAAACATAGGCCCGGGGGTGCCTGGGTGGCTCAGTGGGTTAAGCCTCTGCTTTCAGCTCAGGTCATGATCTCAGGGTCCTGGGATTGAGCCCCGCATCTGGCTCTCTGCTCAGCAGGGAGCCTGCTTCCCCCTCTCTCTCTGCCTGCCTCTCTGCCTACTTGTGATGTCTCTGTAAATAAGTAAAATATTTTAAAAAACAAAAAAACAAAACACAGGCCCTTTGAGACCTTAGAGAAGCACTTGATCCGCGACAAGGAAGTGAGTGTCATCCTTGCATGGTCTCTTCAGGGCACGACTAAGGTCATAATAGGCCCTCAGGAGCTCCCAGATGTGAGGGAGGTAAGGAGGAAGGAGGTGCGGAGGGAAGGGGATGGGATAGCGAGGAGGGAGGAAGGAAGAAAAGAGGAAGGAGGCGGGGGAGGAAAGGCCCGGAGTGGGGAGGGAGGGACGTCCTCACTGGGAAGAGGGTCCCTGCGTCCAAGACCACACGTCCAGCTCCTGGCGAAGCTGACCGATGACCGTCCCCTTCTCACCCATGCTGACCACATCAACCTCAGCCACCAAATCTCGAGAACAATAAAAGTCACGTCACAATGAGGAAGGAGTAGCATCTGCACTGGGTCCTGGGACCTGGCAGTGGTTGCTAATTCCCAGTCTCAGGACCAGACAGTCCAAAAATTAAAAATCAAAAGCAAAATCCTAATGCATTTACCTTCTCCGCACTACCTTCTTCAAGTCACCGAGCAAGAAGAGATAGAAGATGAGCCAAAGGACAAGTATTACTCAGGATGACCCCGTGTGGGGCCGCAGGGGTGGCCCAAGCAGAACCCAGTCGGGCTCCCAGAAGTAATGACAGTGGAACGTTCTCTGAACACAAAAGATAAAAATAAATAAATAA